GATTAAGTTTTCAGGTGGATTTTCCCACTTAAAAACATAATAAAACTACTTTATTCCCACTGATCACAGCAAATATAGCTGCAAGGCAAATAAAGGATAGAGTAGCTCCACCGATCGTGCGTCAGAGCCATTTTTAGACCGCGCAGCCAGAGCAGCAAAGCTTCTTCAGCCGCGCGTCAGAAGCTGGTACAAGCAGCAAAAAAGAAAGCAGCAGACATGATTTTGCTGCTCTTGCTGCGTCCAGTTTGAAAGCAGCATGATTCACTCCGCTCTGGCTTTGCTCCGCCCACGGGCTGCTGAGAGGAGGATGGTCGCGCCGGCTGCGGTCCGCTCTTCTTGCAGTCAAACACCAAGCAACTTTCTGCTCTTAAATTGTTTCCGTGCACGATGTATTGCATTGCGCACTATTGGCATCAGTCTTAATAAAGTGAAGCCGCACTTTTGACCTGGGGGGGGGCATTTTAAAGGGGTTCCACGACGCTCGCAACCAGTTCACAACAGATACACATGAACCCTGGCTGTAGGCGTGACCACCTGTGTATTTTTCCTGGATGACGCAATCAGGTTAAGTGTTACAGCCAATCACCGAAACTTGGTACCGAAAGACGAAGCATGTTTCGATACTCTGTAGAACTGAAGCATTTCGGTCGGTACCATAAAAGAACCGAAGTTCGGTACCCAGTCCTACATTTGTGGGGTCAATTAAACGCTGAAAATGGTCAGAAAAAGAGAACTTTCCTCTGAAACTCTACAGTCTGTCCGTGTTCGTTGAAACGAAGGCTATTCCATGCGAGAAATTGCTAAGAAATTGAAGATTTCCTACAACGGTGTGTACTACTCCCTTCAGAGGACAGCACAACCAGGCTCTAACCAGAGTAGAAAAAGAAGTGGAAGGCCGTGTTGCACAACTTAGCAAGAAGATAAGTACATTAGAGTCTGTAGTTTGAGAAACAGACACCTCAAAGGTCCCCAACTGGCATCTTCATTAAATAGTACCCACAAAACACCAGTGTCAACATCTACAGTAAGGAGGCGGCTGCGGGATTCTGGGCTTCAGGGCAGAGTGGGAAAGAAAAGCCATATCTGAGACTTGCCAATAAAAGAAAAAGATGGGCAAAAAAAACACAGACATTGGACAGAGGAAGACTGGAAAAAAGTGTTGTGGACGGATTAATCCAAATTTGAGTTGTTTGGATCACAAAGAAGAACGTTTATGAGACGCAGAACAAATGAAAAGATGCTGGAAGAATGCCTGACACCATCTGTTAAGCATAGTGGAGGTAATGTGATGCTCTGGGGTTGCTTTGGTGCTGGTAAGGTGGGAGATTTGTACAGGGTAGAAGGGATTCTGAATAAGGAAGGCTATCACTCTATTTCGCAACGCCATGCCACACCCAGTGGACAGCGCTTGATTGGAGCCAATTTCACCCTACAGTAGGACAATGACCCTAAACACACCTCCAAGTTGTGCAAGAACTATTTAGAGCAGAAGCAGGCAGCTGGTATTCTATCGGTAATGGAGTCACCAGATCTGAACCCCATTAAGCTGTTGTGGGAGCAGCTTGACCGTATGGTATGCAAGAAGTGCCCATCCAAGCAATCCAACTTGTGGGAGCTGCTTCTGGAAGCGTGGGGTGCAATTTCTCCAGATTACCTCAACAAATTAACAGCTAGAATGCCAAAGGTCTGCAATGCTGTAATTGCTGCAAATGGAGGAATCTTCGATGAAAGCAAAAAAAAATCTTATTTCAGATACAAATCATTATTTCTAACCTTGTCAATGTCTTGACTCTATTTTCTATTAGTTTCACAACGTATGGTGGTGAATAAGTGTGACTTTTCAGGAAAAAACAAAATTGTTTGGGTGACCCCAAAGTTTTGAACGGTAGTGTATATATATATATATATATATATATATATATATATATATATATATATATATTTATACACTCACCGGCCACTTTATAAGGTACACCTGTCCAACTGCTCGTTAACACTTAATTTTTAAGCAGCCAATCACATGGCGGCAACTCAGTGCATTTAGGCATGTAGACATGGTCAAGACAATCTCCTGCAGTTCAAACCGAGCATCATTATGGGGAAGAAAGGTGATTTGAGTGACTTTGAACGTGGCATGATTGTTGGGTCCAGAAGGGCTGGTCTGAGTATTTCAGAATCTGCTGATCTACTGGGATTTTCACGCACAACCATCTCTAGGGTTTACAGAGAATGGTCCGAAAAAGAAAAAAACATCCAGTGAGCGGCAGTTCTGTGGGCGGAAATGCCTTGTTGATGCCAGAGGTCAGAGGAGAATGGCCAGACTGGTTCGAGCTGATAGAAGGGCAACAGTGACTCAAATAACCACCCGTTACAACCAAGGTGGGCAGAAGAGCATCTCTGAACGCACAGTACGTCGAACTTTGAGGCAGATGGGCTACAGCAGCAGAAGACCACACCGGGTGCCACTCCTTTCAGCTAAGAACAGGAAACTGAGGCTACAATTTGCACAAGCTTATCGAAATTGGACAATAGAAGATTGGAAAAACGTTGCCTGTTCTGATGAGTCTCGATTTCTGCTGCGACATTCGGATGGTAGGGTCAGAATTTGGCGTCTACAACATGAAAGCATGGATCCATCCTGCCTTGTATCAACGGTTCAGGCTGGTGGTGGTGGTGTCATGGTGTGGGGAATATTTTCTTGGCACTCTTTGGGCCCCTTGGTACCAATTGAGCATCGTTGCAACGCCACAGCCTACCTGAGTATTGTTGCTGACCATGTCCATCCCTTTATGGCCACAATGTACCCAACTTCTGATGGCTACTTTCAGCAGGATAATGCGCCATGTCATAAAGCTGGAATCATCTCAGACTGGTTTCTTGAACATGACAATGAGTTCACTGTACTCAAATGGCCTCCACAGTCACCAGATCTCAATCCAATAGAGCATCTTTGGGATGTGGTGGAACGGGAGATTCGCATCATGGATGTGCAGCCGACAAATCTGCGGCAACTGTGTGATGCCATCATGTCAATATGGACCAAACTCCCTGAGGAATGCTTCCAGCACCTTGTTGAATCTATGCCACGAAGAATTGAGGCAGTTCTGAAGGCAAAAGGAGGTCCAACCCGTTACTAGCATGGGGTACCAAGTGGCCGGTGAGTGTATAGATAGATAGATAGATAGATAGATAGATAGATAGATAGATAGATAGATAGATAGATAGATAGATAGATAGATAGATAGATAGATAGATAGATAGATAGATAGATAGAGGGATAGATAGATAGATAGATAGATAGATAGATAGATAGAGATATTGATGCATCACGCAGTGTTCAACTATTCCAGTATGACTCAATTACCCTCCTGCTGTATGTGTGTTTTAAAAAAGTTTGACTTTTTTAAAACACTGTAATCCTAATCTTTGTTCATGGCTCAGAGTGTTTACAGCACAGAGACTGTAATATCTTATCTTCCAGCTGTGCATGTGTGTGATGTTGTGGATCTGTAGAGGATGGGGTGGAAAATGACGTTTTCCTAAATTAAATAGGTTTAATCAGTGAGTTGGTGGGGAAAGGCAGGGAAATTACAGAAAAAAGGAAAATAAAAGAAAATTAAAGGATTTAAAAAATATATATGCATTGTGTTAGATAAAGATATAAAACTATTTTACTTTAGTAGGGGCTGAAGATTTTAATATATTGCCTAAAAATTATAATGGTTTATAGTAATCTTTTGTATTCTTTCCTCCTAGGTAAATTTTTCGCCGGTAAAGTATGTTAATTAATTGAGAGAATACAGTTCTCACATTCCAGGCAAACATGGGTTAAATTAGACTTTTTTTTCCATTTCTTGTGGTTCTGGTCCCTGTGTGGGCTAATTGAGTCTCACGAAACTGAATCGGTTATAAACCCTGCACACACTAGAATGACTTAAAGTCATCTCCCGTTGGTTTGTAGAGTCATATGACCACATTAGCAAAAAAATAAAAAATTCTCAGTGAATTTTCCAACAATGTGTCTGCTATGTTCTCAAGGTGAAAAAAAAAAAAATAAATGAAAAAAGAAAAAGAAAAACAACATTCACATGCATTTTTTTTATGGCATTGGAGAAAATAATGCTTTCAGAAGAACCCAAAGCTAGGAATGTTGTCCCATCCGAGTTGGGAGCTTTATTGTTGTAAGTGAGGAAATTGGTGTCATTTGTTGCTGAAAACAAGCAACAGTCAAATGTGAAAATGCTAATATATATTTCATGTCATAAAACAGAGAGGAAACATTTTTTACAGATCATTTTCACTGCTTTGTATGCACATACTTAAATTGCATATTAGGCTGAGGGTTTGTTGACCAGCTCCAAATTTCCCCATCAGGGTTGTAACTTTAGAATTAATGCTGTTTTCTGACTGAAGCTTCAAAGATATGATTTTTGAGTTTAAAGAGAATGCACCACAACTTAAAGTATCTGGAAGGGATGAAGTTTAAAGATCCCTCCTGATCAGTGGGTTGTCCCATGCGAGGGAAGCAGGAAGGAGACCCTCTAGATTTGTTGCACAAGTAAACAACAACATGAGCAGAGGATAAGATAACGATTTATATCAACTATTACAACATGTGTACTTTGGAGGAGAGTAATTGGTTAATATAATTGTAAACTTTCCATTTTAGCTTTAACATCCTGGTTTAAACCTTTCTAATAATGTTTTTTATTATTTTTTTTTTATATGTTGAACACTCATTAAAAAGCTCTGTATGTTGTGTTAAATGTGCATTTAAATGAATAACCTAATGTCACTTGGGGAGTTATCACGCCTTTTTAAAATATTGTGCAGTGTAAAAAGGTTAACAAGTTAGATATATTCACAGTTCACAGTAGGCTGTCTTTATCACCTGTGAAGCAGATATTTAAGTGAGAAACTGTCACAGAGGAGAGCCCTTGATGATGATTGGCCAGCGAGGGAGGGGACAGTGTATTCTCCGCTGATAAATGTGATGCTTCATAGTCTTCTCTGACAAATCATCAATAGCCAGGAACCTGTAACAGGCACACTTGAATGCTCCCACCCACAGAAATTTTACAGAAGTAAAAAGTTCCTTTTTCATTTTACTGGCAAACACCAACGAGGCCTTGTTCAGTGCAGCTTTGCCTGACAGAGCTTCAGGCCTCCGAGCACAGCTAAGGTCACAACCTCCTGCTATACTATAAGAGCGAGGGAGACATTTTTTGGGGTTGGTTATCGTTGAGTGAGAGGAAATTTTGAAACATTGTGCAATGGTGCCACAAAGGTTTTGAAAGGTTGTGAGAGCGTTTTTGCCAGCAAAGCGTCTGAGAGTCGGTTTGTTGGTGAAGAGGTCTCCATGTTGCATTCATACAGAATGGAGAGTTACCTCATCCCTCCTGTAAGTATATTTTATTCTCCTATTTTTATCGAAACCTTCTGGAAGCTTAAGGTGCGACGGCTGAAACTATTCTGGTCCAGTTTGACGTTGTCTACTTTTAAAGAAGAACCCAGAAAATTACTTTACATTCAAAAGAATGGATGATAGATTTTTTTTTCTTTTTCGTATTGGATGACATATTGTGGTCTCATCTTCAAGTTTAGAGAAAGACACAAGTTCATGGCTTTTATACTATCGACGACATGAAAACGAAACTCTAAAGTTCGAAAGAGTTTCAGGACTGTAATGGCAAGGAAAGAAAAAATAGACTTTATGTGAAAAATTGCCTTTTTTTTGTCTAAAAACAGGTGAATTTATGGCTTATTTGAAGATTATATAAACAACAAATCTTGTTTAATTAACTTTAAGGCTTCGTAGGTGTAAAGATGTGCTGTATTCTCCTGAAACTGCATTACAGCGGTACAAACTGTGTTCATTTTTATGTTTCTGAAACAGCTTTTTTTTTTTTTTCTATTTTCTTTTCAGCATACAGAAGAGATGTACGAGTCTGACATCTACAGACATCCAATTACAGAATATTATAATCCATATGTATTAGATGCTGATATCCAGGCAGGTGAGTTTTCTTCAAAATAAAGTTTAAATTCTAATATGTAATTTCAAATTCGTCAACAACTCAAAAAAAAATATATATAAATATTCCAATTTTTAATGAATTGATCTAAAGACGTACAATGGTTTCCAACCATCTGCACTCCCATTTTTATAATCTATGATTTTATTTTTTCTTTACTAATTTGATCATCCAGACCTGTATTTTTACTTTAAGTCCATGACCCAATGTGGTTACACAAACCTTTTTGGTTTATTGTACATAAAAAGAAAGCAGTATGCGCAGCTGGAGCACACCACATTAGGGTGTATGGAAACACAGGAAACAGATGCCTTGTCTTTCGGCCGCTACAACTACAGACATAGAACAACTTTCGCCCCTTGGGGTTTTGTTAATACATGAGAGGGTGCTTTACTTTCTCTCAAAATCAACTGTTTTGAATGTTGCACCAAAACAACTGAAAATAAGTGTTAAGTGGGAGGTAGCTTATGGTAAAATGTCTGACACGAATGATGATAGAAAATGCTAGAAAACGTATGATTGGATATAAGTAACAGCAAATAGTCAGAATTTGATCTGATTTGAAAAACTTGTTTATGTTGCACCACTCTCTATCTTTAAATTTATTACAATCGAACTTTAAAAGCATGAAAACATAACTACGGTAAGTAAAAAAACATGCTTGCTTCTGATAAACTATTTTTAAACACGCTCAGTCCCACATTTGCATAAATGTGTCTACTTTATCGAATTTTGATAAGGACCTTTGTTTGTGTGAAAAGGGAAACTAAATTAATTTCCGGGTGTCGACATCTGTAAAAATGTGAGCTTGAAATTGTACCGACCGCATATAAGACATAGTGTGAAAAGCCATAAAGCTTCTTCTGATTTCATCATTATCATGTTTTGTCCACTTTGTCTTTGTTTAGATCACTGGGATTACCATTCACACCCCCATGTGCATCCTGTCGAGTTTGAAAGCCTCCCAGAGAGCAACTTCACAGAGCTGCAGAGCGTCCAAGCTCTCCATCCGACGGGTCTCATACGACATGATCCTCTGCGGTATGATGCAGAGAACCTGCTAGATCCGAACCTAGCTGCACATTCACATGTGTTACAGCAACCAGTAAGTCTTCATGCCACAGTTTAAGCAACACATTTTGTTGTGTTATTGTCAAGGGCAACCATTAAACCTCTATAAGTCGATTACAACAAGTGAAGAAATGTTTTCAGTCTTCAGTCTTAAGGTTAAATTACAAAGAAATTCCAAGTAAATAACGGAAAAACTTTGTCATAGTACTCTTAAACGTCCATGTCCTACAGTAATTTATTTTTTTTGGATCAGAATCAGTAGAACAAAAATTATTTTAGTCAGTTTTCAGGACTCGTCTCCAAAATCAGGAAGTGAATCTTAGCTAACAAGAAACTCCTCATTTTTAGTCTTCTTACACTTTTATAGTCCGTTCCAAAACAGAGTTTTCTCTGAATACACCCAGTTGACTCGGCTAGGGCCATTCAAAGTCACATCTGTCGGCTTCGGCCTCAGTTTGTGAGCCAGTGAGTTAGAACAGAGGCCTGTTTTTGGATGTTTAACCTCAGCATTTCAAACCATATCAGCATTTTCACTTCTGTGCTGTGTGGTTGCAGCATTTTACAAACTATTGCACTTTATTAAAAAAAAAAAAAATTAGGTAAAAACATCCTGCACTATGTCTGTTTGGTACATTATACTGCCAAGAACATTAAATCAGGATATTAGAACCTTGACATAAAAGAGATTTTAATTAACCATTTGCACAGAGGACTCAGAGCATTTGTACTTTCAGTTCATTGTGTAAGTTTCACTTCAAATGCAAAGCATTTTTTTCCCCTAATCTATTTAATAGTCAATTTAAAAGCGATATGTGTGTTTGTAAGGGGAATGTCACTTTGTCAATTTAAATGTCATATTCAAAGTGAAAACCAATGTTCCCTTGCAGATTCCTTGTCCACATTTAGCCGTTTGATAATTTTTTTAACAGAATATTATTAATAGACTGGGAGGCTGTACCCAGCCAGGCACATAGATACAGACGCGTCCACACATCACAGCTCATGCAGAGAAAAGTTTGTGTCAAACTCTTGAACTCACAGTGAGAAACACATAATAGAAACCCGACACAGTTGGGTATTTTTGTTCACTGTAAGAGGTATGGTGTGAAATACTGCCAGTCACAAACCGATATGTATCTCGCCAGTTTGAATGCATTTAAAGAAAAAAAAAAATCTGTCAAATCCTGAATTCAAAAATATTAATATAAATATAAAAATGTCATATAGTCATATCAGGACAAAGAATGTCAATAAAAAGTTAAATACATATGCTCTTTAATAACTTATATTCTTATCTGGAAACTTTACAAAACAGTTCATTCCACATAGTTTTTGCCACAGTTTGAGCCCTTTTGATATGTCTGTGAGAGCACTTTATTAAAGCTGAGCTCATAATGGTTTAAAGTGAGATTTTATTTGAATTTAAAATCAAGAATCCTTTTGTTTTTAATGGAATCATCAGTTGCTGATAAAATCCAACATCCCATTAATTCCAGGTATTGGAAAAGGAGTTGAAGTTTATTACTTAACTAAAATTGGAGAGTAATTTCAGTGCCTGAGATTAGGAATTTAGAATATCTTATTTATTCAGAGCTGCATGATGGATGGTTCCTGCTGGCTCTGGAGCAACGCATGCAGCAATCCAGATAAGATTTGTTGTGTAAGAGGAAAGTCTTTCTTATTTAGGCAAGGCAATGCAACTATCATATATTTCATCACCTTGGGTTCTTAGAAAGACAAACGTATTTGTTTTACCATGAAAACCATTTTAAGAGAACAGAATATAATTTTGTAAGCAGGGGTTTACGAGGTATTACAATTTTTCTACAGTTTACAACTCAGTAACAATTGTGACTTTTATTCACACTTAGGTAGCTTTCTTTCCTCGCTCTGTATATCCACCACGTATATCCCAACGCAGCTCTGATGATGAGGAGCATGGAGGAAGGAGTCCCCCACTCGAAGTGTCAGATGAAGAGTGCTTGAGAGATCGAGTATCTTATGTCACATCAGCAGAGATAGGTAAGAATTTATATGAATCTTCACATTCTTATTAAACACAGTAAAAAAAAAAAACTAATCAAAAATGTGTTTACGAGAACAAAAGATCTGAAAGACCAGAATTTCTGTCAATTAAGATTTGCTCACAAAAAAGCTTAATCCAGTCAGCGTTATCTATTTCTTTACTAAAGCAGATTTGAATGAGGTATTTTTGCATACATGTGAGGCAAATTTACCCAATTTTAAAGAAAATAAAATACATCCCAAGCACTGGTGTCTCAAAGGACACTTCTATTGGAGGCATGAAGATTGTACAAATAAATACAACTGCAATAGACTGGAGGACATTTTGATGAAAGGGGATTTTCAATAAAAACTTTAAAATGACTCTAAGGTGGGGTTTATATGTCAGTGACAGGGTGGATGAGTACATAAGAAGCAGGAGAATCCACACCAAGTGACACAGAGCTGGGTGGATTCCTTAAGCTGATATAAATAGTAATACTCAGGAAAACACAAATGTATCAATATTTATTGATTGATATAGAACAGTAAATATTTTTATAGAGTTTGTGCTCTATTAATCGACTGCTGTTTTATTTAGTAAAAAAATATTTAAATCAAATTTTTCAAGGTGCAAAGGTCATGATTAAAAAGTCATTGTCTTTGTAGAAGCACCGTTCTATTTCACCGTTCGAAAACAAGAATTTTCTTCTGGTTGGAGCCATGCATGGACACTGAGAAAAAGTTTCTGGGAATACGTGTCGTAGTTTTGTTTGATTTAAGAGCAACTGTGAGCTTTCGAAAAACGGGTCGGGAGTTTGTGTTAGTGTTTGAATCAGATGCCTGTTTGTTTTGTGGTGTGTTTTGAAAATAGAATATGGTAGTTGTACTTATAAACTACTTTTTAAGTCATGCTGGCCATATAAGCTTTTAACACTTTCACAATGGAGCCACATCCACATAGCTGGAATGAGAAACGTGCATTCATACCCCTAGTTTCATAGTGTACCAAATCTTTTGTTGTCAATTATTGGTTAAGTGATTTTCCTAGACAAAAAAAAAAATCTGACAGGGATAAGAAAAGAAATAAAAGGCAAAACCTTCAAATTGTAAGACAATTATTCATCCCAATGAGAAAATACTTGATTTTTAAATAGAAGGCACATGGACTTATTTAGACATTTTATCTCTTATTAAGACTACTGTCATTTTAATAATGATTGGCATCATTATAGTCAGAAGAGTTAACCTTTAAGGATCAATAAATTACATACTTCCTAACCATGTCTTTTTATCAAGTCTGTAATAAGAGGTAAACCATCTTTAAGAAAAGCCCAATAATCTCCTATTTAAGCTATTCTTGGGTGACTGGTCATGTTTTACCCACGTTCTACACACAGTGCAGAAATGAAACAGTGCAAAAGATCTGAGCTAAAGAAATTGAGCAAAAAGTACAACCTAACAACTCAAACCCAGTAATCAAAATGCTGGAATTTTTTTTCATTTATCAGGAGATTTGCTGCAGCATTGCTTTTTATCTTCTATCAAGTGATAAAACGTTTGTGTTGAAATAGATAAATATTACCAACGTACTAAGAGAGAGAAGGAAAACATTGTTCAAGCTTTATTTTTGGAAGAATAAGACAGCTTTAATTTTCTTGCTTCGGAGCCTTTTCCTGTCCTTTTGTCAGCGTTTTGTTCTACTGACAACTTAAGCAAAATTCTTAGAACAGAGTATTGGTTGCACAGCTGTTTTTTTTTCAATGCTCATTTGGCGCTTTTTATTTAAGACAGTCCGTTAAAGTATAGTAGATAAAAAAATTACATAATTTTTAAAGGATGCTTGCTAAATAATGAAGCAAGTAAAGTTTTTAATTCACTGAATGACACCATTTAATGACACGCTTTGATATCAGGAAGATTGGGGTTTAAGTTTATCTTCTCTATTCTGTATGAATAGAATAGTCAGCTATTTGTTTAACTGTGGGTAACTGCACCACTACGTCATATTTTTTTCCTCTTCATGTTTATGGAACAGGAAGAGGAACATGCTTTAATGGAACAGAATAGAAAGAAAATAGAAAAAAAAATTTTTTTTAGAAACAGGTAGATCACAGTTGCAGAATTGTTTGTAGGAAGAGACATAGACTTCACTCAAATAAAAAAGACCATATTGTGTAAAAAAGCCTTTGGTAGAAGTTCTATGAATAAGCTAGACTCATCAACACTCAGCCAATTCTGAGTCACAAAATCCAAAATGCAAGAAAGAAATCCTTCTGGACCAAACATTTGTTTGCCAAAGATCTGGCATTAGTCTTGCAATCCTGGAAGGAACCAGTAGAGCCGTTTCCTCGGCTGATCCACACTACAGCAGTTACTATATGTCCATCTAATCATAAAAAAAAAAACCTTTTGAGTAAAATTTTTAAACGTTGAAATATATGTGTTCCATCTACTACTGGAGCTGGAAGTGAATTAACCAGGCTATACTAAGGGTAATTTAGTCAGAACTGGACGTTACGCACTGCAAGCAATGGCTTGTTCACATTGCGATGTAAAACGCTGTCCGGAGCAGTAGAGAAAGAAATGCATTTCTGATGTGCGCAGTGAGGGCCACACGCCAATAACAGTCATCACACATATAGGAGAGACATAGTGCTTAAGATTTCTGGGAGATACACATCTCACAGTTGAGATGTTGACGGCAGGAAGAGCTGATCAATCATGCGAGGCAAACATTCGCTACATCAGAACTTATTCAACAAGCGCACATTAACTGCTCTACAAGAAAGCCTCAAATGATCAACTAAGTGTAAAAAAAAAAAAAGAAAATTTAAATGCTGCAAATGCAGGAAGTTATTTCTAATTTTGCTTTAGCCATCCACCTTTTCTAGATTGATACTTCAAAACTGTCATTACAAATATAGATAGAAACATGGCTTATGTGGATGGGAGTTGCCAGGCTGGAGATTCTATTTAGCCTTAATGAGAGGTACAAGATAGCTGTAAATAAAGTCCAAGGATCCTTTAAAGATCCTTGATCAATGATCTTTAAATGAAGCAGACAAAACAAATTATAGGGAAACCTGCTGCACAATCTGCCTTCTCCTGAATCCACCCCAGCCATACCCTCCTTTTTGGTGCAGAGGTGGAATCGGGGCTTAACCCCTAAAAGAATGGGTGGCAAATTGTTATGTTCAGTATTAATTATTTGTACTAAAGAATCGGCGATCATACACCAGCAAAGAGTTTATATTCATTGTATCATTATAAACCAAATATACAACCACACAACATTTACTATGACAGATGAAAACACGTGAACACTGTATCAACCATCAAGCTAACTACATGGTGACATATTTTATTTTTTTTGAGGGGTGGGGGAGCTTTTTAAAAGTTTGCTTGGTTACTATTTATATCTCAAGATCTCCACACACACAAAAAAAAACTCTACCTAAACTTGTTAAAAGTGGCAACACTCTTTATGACAATGAGTTCCAAGAAAATGAAACAAAAATAAAACCCTTGAACAGGCTGTCAATTGCGTTTTTGCACCAGGGCAACATATTCAGTCATGTGAGCAATATTTTCAAGATATTAAAAAGGGAACATTCCTTCATTGTTGCATAAAATAATGTTGGTATAGATTGAGCACAGAACAGGAGATAAAACAAAACCATTAAAGAGACCTGTTGTGAGTCTGCACTGGTCTGATAGCTACAGTGATTAAGAAAAAAGAAAGGTTTGTTTTAAAATTTTTGTGTGTGGCTGGTCATTGCATATCTCCTTTAATCTCAGCTCATATATTACCTTAATTTAGCTGTATTTAAATTAGTTTGTACTTATTACACTGCGTTGTCTTGAAATGTGCTACTTTTGAGCTATACTAGCTGAGCAGACAAAAGACAAAGACGTTGCGTAGGTGTTGATTAAAAATATGACAAGATGTGTCACTGACACATGTGCTTAGTGCCTTTTCACATAAAAGTTGACCAAACATGTATTGAGATCAAGTTTCTTTTTCCTGTGTTTGTACAAAAGATTTAGAGCAAACAGGCTCTAATGATGCGGATCATGTTGTTTCCATAGGTAACAAAAAGAAGATCCGTCTGTACCAGTTCCTGTTGGACCTTCTAAGGAATGGAGACATGAAGGACAGTATCTGGTGGGTGGACAGAGACAAGGGGACATTTCAGTTTTCCTCTAAACACAAGGAGGCCCTTGCACACCGCTGGGGAATCCAGAAGGGAAACCGGAAAAAAATGACATATCAGAAGATGGCTCGAGCCTTGCGCAATTACGGCAAAACTGGGGAGGTGAAAAAAATCAAGAAAAAGCTGACATATCAGTTCAGCGATGAGGTGCTCGGAAAGGGTCATCTGGAGAGAAAATCTTACATTTAGGCTGTATATATAATTTCTACCGTGTCTTTGGCTACACAGTTATATCTGTCAATCTGATAGATACAGTAGCATTATAGAAATAAAAGATATGATACTGTACAGTACCAGAGTATGGTAAATATTTTAGTCAGTGTGCTTTCATGGTCTCCACTTATCGTATCAGAAAAGTTGGAATCAAGTACAACTTATAAAAACAAACAAGCTATTAAAAATATTTTTTCCTCTTGTTTGATGTAAACTTTTTATTTCCTTTATCTGCATTTTAATTTAAAATGACCTCGTAGATTTACCCAGAAGGGATAGAGCGGTACTCTCTAATGAAAGGGACAAATGTGGCGTCCATAACTGTTTCGTATTTTAATTCTCTATCAGTCTGAATGTGTTCAGACTGGATGCATTAACATCAGCAGGCTCTGTTGTAGTAGCAGAAGGTTGTCAGTGCTCACATTTTACCGGGCCTTGCCCATTCTCTCCATTGTGTTTGACAACTCTGTTGTTTTAAGTTCTCTTAGTTGTGTAAATTTATTATGTTTATGTAGCCTTTTTATATCAGGTTAGTATTTAAACAGCCTGCAAAGGGATAATTAAGCAACATACTCCGTGTTAAGGTAATATATATATTTTGTGCCATGTTATATACCATAAAATGTACAATCTGTATGGCTGAAAATTGCTTGTAAAGAATAAATTCTCCATTAATGATTGTGTGTTATGCATTTTTGCAAAGAATATGTGGAGGAAACTTCATCTAATATCAGAAGTAATGAAAAGAAGAGGGAGATATAAATAAACCGTACAGTTGAAGAGTGTTAGGTTTTACAGATGAAGGTTATATTTCATTACATCTTAAAGATAACTGCTGAACTATGAGGAACTTTGAGGTTAATGAAGGCCTGAAGAGATGAAGTGGCTTCTCACTCAAATCTTACACATAACCGAATCCCGACAAACTGCAGGCATCAGCTTTCTGCTTTTGGCTGCTGTTAGGACTCTGCAGTGACACATCTGGTTTGTCCGTGCCGGTCTCCACAAGTATAAATATTTTGTAAGTGTTTAACTACCGTCTTATTACTAAGGGTTAGTGTTTCCTTTAAAACATTAGAAGGCACTTTAGGTTTTCTTTTAGACAATGGATATTTTTGTTTTCTTTCTTTACTGGTTCACCACTAGCAGAAAAAAAGAAAATAAAAAATGAACAGCTGTTTTTGTTGTACATTTAAAATCATTTCCCAAAGTTGAACTTCTCAAATGAAAGTTAAAATTGTGTTATTAAAGAGTTACCCGTTTTGTTGACATGTGCACATATAAACTGTCCATGGGCTTCTTAAGAACCAACAGCTCCCCACAATGGTCAGTTAGTGACTATAAATAACAGATGGGAGGATTAAGTACTACACACCACAATAAAAAAACAATCTACTGTACAGTGCTGAATGCTAGGTTTTCTTATGCTTTATGCACATGTTCAAAGCTTGCTTTAACACGTAAAGAACAGCAGTGTTCTGCAAAGCTTTTAAAGTAGCTTTTATTTCTTAGTATTTTTCCTCATTTTCCTGTTTTTATTTCAGATTTGTGCAAACCAATAGTTCTTCAGTTTCTGACTCCAAATGCAAACAGGATTGTCTTAGTATCTTTGGTTTGATAAACCAGGGAAAGAGACCTGAGATACAAAATCCCTTATGTTCTTTTTTTTTTTTATCTGTGTACATTTTTTTACACTCAAACTTAATCATGAATCACCCTTATTTTGCACAAATCCTGTCTGTCAAATTGTGTTATAAGCACCGAGTCTAGGGGCCTTTTATGCTTCAGTGATTAAAAAATATTTATCTTAGAAATTGACATGTACTGAACCAAAACTATGCACCGTCGTCTAGAAAATAAATAACAAAAAATACAAAGCTAAATCTACACCATATCAGCCTCCTAGGAAGAATGCATATGAAGCATCTGAATAAATTAGAAATTTACTTGGCAGCATAATTTTCACAAAATATTTTTCTTCATTTTGACTGTATCGATTCGGTATGTGAAAAAGCCCAACAAACCAGATATTTCATTTGACAGCGAGATGAACGTTACCAACCCACTAATAAAACAGTGAAAACTTTACGTCCCAATGTTATAATCCAGTCAGAGCAATGACCAAATAGCAGTGGTGGATGAAGTACTTAACAGTAGTACTTCAGTGAAAGTATTGACACTCAGTCAAATCTTACTCCACTACAGTAAAAGTTGCTCAGTCAATAATCTACTCAAGTGCCATTGAACTCAAGCATTGAACTACTCATTTCTGAAAATACTTAAGTATTCAAAAGTACATGCATTTATGTATATGTACATACATATATATATGTATATGTATGTATACATATATATATGTATATATACATATACATATATATGTATATATACATATATATATGTATATGTATATATATGCATATGTATATATAATATACCTATTATATACATATTCTAATGTTACATATTATTTGACCTCCAAAAAACAACCTTTTTTTTTTATCTTGGCTGCTGTGGCTGATAACGCTGCATACCTTACGATCTCCTATTTTTGCAGGGGCTTGCTTTAAATCATATATATATAAGATTATTGAGGGTAGAATCATTACAAAGAGCTATTCTCAATAAAACTGTCCATCAACTCTTTTGAGCCTCACTGCATAGAAACACTGAAGAATTGCTGTTTGAGTGTATCATAATCTACAAAGAAGCTCAAAAGTTGTCAATAATGTGAAAGCTTGTCTTAAAGGGCTTCCTGAGTGCAGGAATGATATGCATAGAACTGTTTTCCAGTTCGTGAATGAACTGCTTTCAGTTTCTTTCACAAACTTCTGTTTGCCATAAGCAGGCACCCCAAAGCCATTCTGAAATCAGCAATTGGCCTCCACGCTGTCATGGCAGACGTGAAAAGCAGAGCATGCACTTTGTGGAAGAAAGCACTAACCAGGGAAGTACTTCTCTGCTAAGGTAGTGATTCCCAACCGGGGGTACGTGTACCCCTAGTTGTCCGCAAGTGCAGTGCATTGGTGCATGAAAATATTATATTTCTTAGTTGTAGGAAGATAAAACGAAATTAAACAAGCTTTTATCAACCATAAAGTATGTTTTTCTTTTACCATTGAGTTCAACTTCAGCTGTGACACACATCCAAACCAAGCAGAGGAACAGACTGGCTGTAGAGAACAGCCTGAGATCAGCTGTTTTTCACACTGAGCTATTGGAGCTCATCAAAGCAGCTCAGGTGTCTTGATGAAAACAAAGTCAAACTATTTAATCAGTCTGACTTTAATTTTTCTTCTTTATTTTGTTCCCAATTCATCAAGTTTAAATTGGATTACAGGTGCTGGTCATAAAATTAGAATATCATGAAAAAGTAGATTGATTTCAGTAATTCCATTTAAAAAGTGAAACTTGTATATTATATTCATACATTACATACAAACTCATATATTTCAGATGTTTATTTTGTTTAATTTTGATGATTACAAATGACAACAAATGAAAATCTCAAATTCATCATATCAGAAAATTAGAATATTGTGAAAAGGTTCAAAATTGATGGCCCCTGGTGCCACACTCTAATCAGCTAATTAACTCAAACCACCTGCAAAAGCCTTTAAATGGTCTTTCAGTCTAGTTCTATAGGCTACACAATCATGGGGAAGACTGCTGACTTGACAGTTGTCCAAAAGACGACCATCGACACCTTGCACAAGGAGGGCAAGACACAAAAGGTCATCGCTAAAGAGGCTGGCTATTCACAGAGCTCAGTGTCCAAGCACATTAATAGAGAGGCGAATGGAAGGAAAAGATGTGGTCGAAAAAAGTGTACAAGCAAGAGAGATAACCGCACCCTGGAGAGGATTGTGAAACAAAACCCCTTCAAAAATGTGGGGGAGATTCACAAAGAGTGGACTGCAGCTGGAGTGAGTGCTTCAAGAACCACCACACACAGACGTATGAAAGACATGGGTTTCTGCTGTCGCATTCCTTGTGTCAAGCCACTCTTGAACCACAGACAGCGTCAGAAGCGTCTTGCCTGGGCTAAAGAGAAACAGGACTGGACTGCTGGTGAGTGGTCCAAAGTCATGTTCTCTGATGAAAGTAAATTTTGCATTTCCTTTGGAAATCAAGGTCCCAGAGTCTGGAGGAAAAGAAGAGAGGCACTTCATCCACGTTGCTTGAAGTCCAGTGTAAAGTTTCCACAGTCAGTGATGGTTTGGGGTGCCATGTCATCTGCTGGTGTTGGTCCATTGTGTTTTCTGAGGTCCAGGGTCAACGCAGCCACATACCAGGAAGTTTTAGAGCACTTCATGCTTCCTGCAGCTGACCAACTTTTTGGAGATGCAGATTTCATTTTCCAACAGGACTTGGCACCTGCACACAGTGCCAAAGCTACCAGTACCTGGTTGAAGGACCATGGTATCCCTGTTCTTAATTGGCCAGCAAACTCTCCTGACCTTAACCCCATAGAAAATCTATGGGGTATTGTGAAGAAGAAGATGCAATACACCAGACCCAACAATTCAGAAGAGCTAAAAGCCACTATTAGAGCAACCTGGGCTATCATAACACCTGAGCAGTGCCACAGACTGATCGACTCCATGCCACGCCGCATTGCTGCAGTAATACAGGCCAAAGGAGGCCCAACTAAATACTGAGTGCTGTACATGCTCATACTTTTCATGTTCATACTTTTCAGTTGGCCAACATTTCTATAAATCCTTTGTTTTTATTGGTCTTCAGTAATATTCTAATTTTCTGATATGATGAATTTGAGATTTTCATTTGTTGTCATTTGTAATCATCAAAATTAAACAAAATAAACATCTGAAATATATGAGTTTGTATGTAATGTATGAATATAATATACAAGTTTCACTTTTTAAATGGAATTACTGAAATCAATCTACTTTTTCATGATATTCTAATTTTATGACCAGCACCTGTATAAGGGAGTTACTTAGAGGAGCTCCATTTTTATTAATAAAGGATTATTATATGAATTTATTTTGATTACTTACTGACTTCCAGGCAACATATTTATGTTGTTTTTTTATTTTAGATGGAAAGCATAAAATGCCTAAAAATTAAATGTTCAAATTAAAAGATTAAGTATAATTGTTTTTATTATACAATCAGTTACTGTACGTTCCTCTTTTGGACAATCATAAAACTTTAGACTGAGAGGGGAACTCATGGTAAGACAAAATTCACTAGGGGTTACACAAGTAAAAAAAAAGGTTGGGAAACACTGTGGTAATGGAACAAGACCCAGGGAACTCCAATGATTTTAACACCATTATAGAGAGCAAAGTAGTAAAACAAAATCCAGATCCTTACCTGACCTGGAAGTTCTTTTTATTCTTATCAAAGCTAACCTTAGGTTTGATGTACCATGTCAAAGAATCACCAGATACTCCTCATTTAACGTTTCCACCCAATACAGTTATGTAGCTGCAATGTTGTCCAGAGAAACAAACTTGGCATTATTTTCAGCAACACAATAGCTGATCTTTCCTCCATTGATACCTGCACATCTGCTGAATGTGTGAGCATAAAATTAATGAGACGATTAGATATTAAAATGATCTATTACCTATCATGGCCTGTGTTTAGTAGGTTAGAATGCAAACAATAAAGCTTGCTGTCCACCAGTTGTTGCAGCATTGAGATATC